CACAAGTTGTGTTCTCTATCCCTCCAGTTGTTCAGGCAAACCTGATTTCAACCTATGACAGAATGGCCCGCTTAGTGGATGAAGGTGAAGACTGTCAGTGTGGTCTACCTGGACTTCAGTAAAGCCTTTGACACTGTCCCCCATAATATTCTTGTGGAGAAGCTGGCTGTCAGTGATTTGGATGGGCATATGCTTCACTGGGTGAAATACTGGCACGATGGTGGGATCCAAGGAGTTGTGGTCAGTGGAGTTAAATCCAGTTGACAGCTAGTCACAAGTAGTGTCCCATAGGGCTTGGTACTTGGGCTGCTTCTATTTAACATCCTTATTAACGATCATAGAATTATAGGATCACAGAATGGCCTGGGTTGAAAAGGACCTCAAAGATCATCTGGTTTCAACCGCCTTGCTATGAGCAGGGTCACCAGCCACTAGACCAGGCTGTGCAGAACCACATCCAGCCTGGCCTTGAATGCCTTCAGGGATGGGGCATCCACAACCACCTTGGGCAACCTGTTATAGTGTGTCACTTCCCTCTGTGTAAAAAACTTCCTACTAATCTGTAAACTAAACCTACCCTGTCTTAGTTTAAAACCATTCCCCCTTGTCCTATCACAGTTCACCCTCATAAACAGCCATTCTCCCTCCTGTTTATAAGCTCCCTTTGAGTACTGGAAGGCCACAATGAGGTCTCCCCAGAGCTTTCTCTTTTCTAAGCTAAATAAGCCCAGTTCCCCCAGTCTTTCCTCATAGCGGAGATGCCTTCTGATCATCTAGTTGCCCTCCTTTGACCCGTTCCAAGAGCTCCTCATTCTTCCTGTACTGGGGGCTGCAGGCCTGGACGCAATACTCCAGAATATTGGAGTACTCCAGAGCCTCACAAGAGCTAAGTAGAGGGGGACAATCACCTCCTGCTCCATGCTGGCCACCCCTTTTTTAATGCAGCCCAGAACACAGTGGCCTTCCAGGCTGCAAATGCACACTGCTGGCTCATGTCCAGTTTTTTGTCCACCAGGACCCCCAAGTCCTTCTCCGCAGGGCTGCTCTCAAGGAGATCTTCCCCTGGTTTGTGTAAATACCTGAGATGCCAGCACTCTACACTTGGCCTTATTGAACCTTATTAGGTTTTCATGGGCCCACTTCTCCATCTGTCCCTCTGAATGGCTTACCTTCCTTCCAATATATCAACTGCACCACTCAGCTTGCTGTCATCTGCAAACTTGCTGAGGGTGCTGTCGATGCCATCATCTACGTCATTGATGAAGATGCTGAAGAGCACTGGTTCCAAGACCAACTCCTGAAGGACACCACTTGTGACGAGCATCCACCCTGACACAGAATCACTGATCACAACCCTTTGGCTGTGTCCAGCCAGCCAATTCCTAATCCATCACACAGTCTATCCTTCAAATCCATACCTCTCCAATGTAGAGAGAAGGATGTGGTGAGGGACCATGTAAAAGCCTTTGCAGAAGTCCAGATATATGACATTTTCTGCCCTTCCCCCATCCACTGAAGCCATCACTTCATCATAGAAGGCCACCAGATTGGCCAGGCACGATGCCTTTGGTCAGCCACTGCCCTTGGTGAAGCCATGCTGGCTGTCTTGAATAATCTCTTTATTTCGTGTGTGCCTTAACATGGATTCTAGGAGGATCTGCTCCATGATCTTCCCAGGCATAGAGGTGAGGCTTACCAGCCTGTAGTTCCCCAGGCCTTCCTTTCTCCCTTTCTTAAAAATAGGAGTAGTGTTTCCTTTTCTCCAGTCACCAGGGACTTCACCAGACTGCCATGATTTTTCAAATATGATGGAGAGCATTTTGGCAACCACATCAGCTTCTTTCAGAGCCCTAGGATGGATGTCATTTGGCCCCACTGATGTATACACGTTCAATTTTATGAGAAGGACTAGGACTTGTTCCATCTTTACAGTGGGACAGAAACCACTCCCCACACCCTCACCTAGAGGCTCATGGTCCTGGCACACACAGGAAATCTGATCACCCATGAAGTCTGAGGCAAAGCTCTCATTGAGTACCTCAGCTTTTTCTATGTCTGAAGAAGCCAGCTCCCCATTACCTTTCATCAGAGGGGGAACACTCTCCTTGGCCTGTCTCTTCCTGCCTATGTACCTGTAGAACCTCTTCTTGAATTCTTTCACATTCCTCACCAAGTTCAGTTCCATCTGCTTCTCGTCTTTCCTAATCCTATCTCTAAATGGAGATCTCATTCTCAATGGAGATCTGAAATGGAGGTATCAATCTCTTGATGAGGGGATTGAATGTACCCTCAGTAAGTTTGCAGACAACACCAAGTTGGATGGGACTGTTGATCTGCCAGAGGGGAGAAAGGCACTACAGAGGGTCCTGGGTAGAGTGGATCGATGGGTCAATGTAAACCATATGAGTTTCAATAGGGTCAAGTGTCGGGTCCTGCATTTTGGTCACAACTCCAGGCAACCCTACAATGAGTTTCAATAGGGCCAAGTGTTGAGTCCTGCATTTTGGTCACAACAACCCCAGGCAACCCTAGGGGCTTGGGGAAGAATGGCTGGAAAGATGTCTGGAAAGATGTCTGAAGGAAAGGAACCTTGGTATACTGATGGAAGTCAGTTGAATATGAGCCAGCAGTGTGCCCAGGTGGCCAAGAAGGCTGATGGCATCCCGGCTTGTATCAGGAACAGCGTTGTGAACAGGACTAGGGAAGTCATCCTGCCCCTGTATTTGGCAATGGTGAGGCCTCACCTCTAGTACTGTGTTCAGTTTTGGGCACCTCAGTACAGAAGGGACATTGAGGTGCTAGAGCAGGTCCAGAGAATGGCAACAAGGCTTGTGAAGACCTTGGAGAATATGCCCTATGAGGAACAACTGCAGGAGCTGGGGTTGTTCACTCTGGGGAAAAGGAGGCTGAGGGGAGACCTTACTGCTCTCCTCCAATATCTGAAAAGTGCTTACAGCGACAGTGGGGTTGGTCTCTTCTCACGGGTGACAGGTGACAGGACGAGGGGAAATGACCTTAAGTTTTGCCAGGGTAAGTTTAAGTTGGATATCATGAAGAACTTCTTTACAGAAAGGGTTGTTGAGCACTGGAGTAGGGTCCCCAAGGGTGGTGGTTGAGTCACCATTCCTAAATGTGTTTAAAAACCATTTGGATGTGGTGCTCAGGGACATGAGTTAGCAGAGGGTTGTTAGAGTTAGGGTAGTATGGCTAGGCTGTAGGTGGACTCAATGATCTTTAAGGTCTTTTCCAACCTGAGGTGATTCCATGATTCTAAGTGCTTGTGATCGCGACATCTGTAGCTGATGGGTAGAAGGTTTCATCAGCAGGCTATGCTTGATCAGGTATCCTATAGTAGGCACCAGACACAAGGCTCCCTTGCTGCCATGCTCTGTCACCTGTAGGTTTTCAACTTACTTATGGCTGTCTTTAGGGAAAGCTCTTCACATTCTATTCCTTTCCCAATATAGATAGCAACAATCCCTCCCCTCCTTCCTCACCTGTCCCTACTGAACAGCTTGTGGTTGTTGGTACCTATTATCTAGTGTTGCTATATATAATCTAACAGACATTTTCTTATTTTTTAACCAATGTCTCTGGGCCAGTGTTTCGTACATGGTAGCCTCCTTGAATTCAGTGGAAATACAATATTTTTTACTGAATGGTAAATTGACCCCACATATTTGCAACAAGGAATTTCAGATGACTGTAACAAGCACCAAAGAAACTTCTCTGGTCAAGGAAAGCTGTGTGCCTTCTGAATGGTGCATTTTGTAAGCTATTTTCTACTCAGTGCTGTGACAGTTCATAGCTATTAATAATAACGTTGGTGGCACAATTCCATCTTACTACAAATGCAATTTTTTCTACATTTAAAATAAATGTATGATGTTAAGAATAACAGAGGAGGGAAAAAACAAGGAAATAAGCCCTGAGGGAGAAAGTGGAGCTTGAAGTCACTATTCATGTCTGAAGGTCATCTAATCTACTCCCCATGCGCAAGGAGGGACACCTAGAGCAGTGTCTGATGGCATTTGAAGCTCTTTAAAAAAGAGACTCCACAACCTTTCTGGGAAACATGTGGAATCTATTTAAGAGAATCCCAGCTTTTAGCACAGAATGATTAGAGGATTTTATATTGTTGAATTTTAAAATCTCTGCTATTTTCAACAGTGATGAACAGCATTGGAAGAAAATTCATCTCCAAAGAAATGAAACTATGACCCCCTTAATGTGTCTGGATCATCTCCTAGTTACTGCAGGGCATGTAGTACAGAATTGTTTTTTGCTTTTAAGGGACAGAATCATAGCATATTGACACTGAAGATGCTGACTATTCATCAGTCGTTATTCTTGCATAGTAGCATTATTCTCACCACACCACCCTTCTGGATCCCAGGTATCCAATTGCAAAACTGTGCCTACACTTCTTGAGTTATTTTATAATTTACTGTGGTAAAAGCAGGCAGATACATAGTATGATTAGACCTTGACAGAAACATCTTACAAAGAACCTTTGTCAGAAGCTCTAGAAATGCATTATTTCCTCAACAACTCTACCTTCTTTTTGCTCATATTAAAACACTGCGTATTTTTAGAGTTAGTTTTGTATTCCTCTGTTGTGTGATTTTAGAATATCCTCCTTATCCAATGCTTTGCAGGAAAGTATTGTAGTTTCTAGTTTGGTTTGAAGCAGAAGCATCAGTCTTACATAGGAGGTTATTTTTCTTCTACTACACACCACAGCAAGAACTACTTGCACAACTGCATCCAGTGGAATGTCATTTTGCTGTGGTCATTTTTTAAGGGAAGGAAGTATTGTAACTAGTTTTCAGCTTCACATCAAAAACAAATTGAAACAAAATTTGTTGCTTGATTGAAAATTCTACAAAGCAGTATAATTAAAAATCATGAGCAAGGCAAAGCTAATCCTTTACAGAAGAAGTACATTACCCACAATAACTAATAGTAGTACCAACTTGACTTGTGTTTCTCTGGGTTTTAATATCCCACCATCAGCTACTGGCTTTGTAACCATTTCATCACTTTCATGTCCTTCTGAAAAAGAGAAGTAGTCATTCTCCAGTGCAATTATCTCTGCTTTAAGCAGTCAAGATAAGAGGCCATGCTAATTTAAATCTGTCTTTGGAGGTAATTTATGCTTTAACCTTGGTCTTGACATTTATTCTGTATTCTTCCTCTTTATTCTCCCTAAACTATTCAAGCTGTGTCCATAAAACAAAAACCTCATTATATAAACCTCAGTTTTCCAGTCCTTTAATGGAATGCTAGACAGTTGTGACAGTTAAATGTCCATGCTTCTTTTGAGGATTACACATTTTACTAATGAATACAAGATGACTATTTAGCGCTTTATTAATAACTACTTAAGAATGTAAATAATTATGCCAAATGTTTAACTATTTAATAATTATTTCAGAATTTTAATGACTTTGAATGTAGGAAAACTGACTACATTATCTAAAGATTAGAAAAAAAAAACCAACGAATGGATAAACTCCAGATTTTAAAATACTTTCTGAAATAATGATGCTTTCATAAGTAAATAATTATCTCTTTCCATTTAATACATTTCCATATAAGACGGATACATTTTAACATGAATTAAAATAAGATTTTAAAATGAGGAAAAAAAAAAAAAAAGGTATTATTACCAAGTGTCCTTGATGTCCAAAAGGATTTTTTTTTTTTTTTTTTTTTTTTTTTTCAATTATTAATGCTTTTACTCCCATTATATAGCAGCCAATAAATAAAAGTCAGGTCTTTGCCTCCCAGTAATTTTATGGCAAAAACAGTCACAAGTGGGATGGGGAGGAGAGCTGGAAACAAAATAGTGCTCATGGGTTGATATAAAAACTATAGAATAACTTCTTGCCTAATCCACCAGCTGTCCTGATTCTGCTTCCCCAGCATGTTGCTGCTGTGCTATTCCCTTCCAAGTGGTCTGGCCTGGCACACAACCATTATTCAGCAGTAACCAAAAGGTCAGTTTGCTATTAATACAGTCTCAGCTGAAACCAGGATGCTACCAAAACAGGAGTATACATTTGAGCTTTACTCTCAATTTAGGGTAGATTAGATTATAAAATGTTGACCCAAAATAAATGTATACCTGATTTTTATTATATATATATATATATATATATAGGGAATGTATTATCTTTGGTTGGGATGGATTAAGTTCTCTTCATAGTAGCCCATATGGTGGTAAATTTTGGATTTGTAATGAAAACAGTGCTTATGGCATACTAACGTTCCTGCCATTGTCAAGCAGTGCTTAAAAAGCCAAGGTAATTTCTCCTTATGCTGCCCTGCTACTTAGTAGGTTGGGGGTGCATAAGAGGTTGGAAGGAAGCATAGCCAGGGCAGATAATTGAAATTGGTCAGAGGGGTGTGGAATCATAAAATATTTTGAGTTGAAAGGAGACTTTAAAGTCCAACTCTCCTGCAATGAACAGGGACATCTTTAGGAAGATCATAATGGTCAGAGCCCTGCCCAGCCTGGCCTTGAATGTCTCCAGGGAAAAGCATATTCCACATAATATGCTCAGTAACAGAATTATAGGGGAGTTTCTCAAAGACAGTCATCACTTAGTAACTGGCTGCCACTGGTCTGCTGCTGCTGGTGAATGATTACTTTTGCATCACTCGTTCTCTTTTTTTCCTTTTTTGTTCTGTGCTTTTTCTTTTCTTTGTTTTCTTTTCCTTTCTCCCTCACTTTCCTTGTTAAACAGTTTTGGTTTTTTTTCTTGACTCAGGACTTTTTTCATAATGAATTTTCCAATTCTCTTCTCCATCCTGCCAAGGTGATACATAAGCAACTGCATAGTGTTTTTTTATGAACTGTGTCAACAAACTGCAGAGGGTAGCAGGTAATGTAATTAAATCCTTTTTATGTAAAATAATCCATATAAATAGCCTTGGAATAATTAAATTATATATCTGATTCACCAAGGGTTGGATAGAAGACTTTATGAACAAAGTAATAAGATGATGCTATATTTAAAATTGAATAACTTTGGCAAGCTTCGAATGAACCATGTTTTTCAGTGAAGGAAAGTTTTGTTTTTTTTTTTCCCTATAGAGCAAGTTTTGAAACCTCTACCTACTTACTGATCTTGCATTAAATGGTTTTGCTTTTTGCTTTGATTAGCATTACTGTTTAGATGTTGGTAAGAAACTGAATGTTGTTGTGTTTGTTGACAGTAAATGTCAGTAATAGATTTTTTTATAAACTTGACACTAATTAAGTATTTGGAGTGTTATGATAGTCAGAGCTAGTAAGAGTATAAACACAAATTCCTATTAAATATATTCATTTATTCATTTCCCTTTCCTGACAGGTTGTTTCTAATGACTAATCATGCTTTTGAAGTCTTTAACTTGAACATAAAAGGAGTCATAAAACCATTAATATTATATTTTCCTTGATTTTTTCTTTGTTGATGTTTTGTTTTAAGCTAGAAAATAGCATCTGATCCTGAATCGAGTTCCACTGAAAATATTAAAATTTACTGTTAACATCTAAAGAGATAAGAAAGCCTGATGATGTTATGAGAGAATTAGCACTAAAATTTGTTTTTACTCTTGATCCTGTTAGTTGATGGATCTTGCCGCCTGCCAATATTATGCTTACTTTCTAACTTCAACCTTTTGTTAGACAGAATTTCTTATTTACATTTTAAGTATGTTAAGTAATACTGAATCATGCAAAATGGAAATGTGCTAAAATACAGTTAAAAACACACAGTTAAATCATGCTTTCATTTGAAGAAAAGTTTGTAGTATATAAATAACTCCAAGGAGCTACATTTTTTTGTGCATTTCAGCAGAATATTTCACAGAATACTGGATTTATTTATTTTTTATTCATATATGTATCTTGTAATATATCCATAAGGAAATACTTTGACATACAGTGATGTTATTGATACATTCTTAAAAACAGCAGCTCTGATGTAGGTTTTAAACATACTTAATTTGTGGAAAACAAAATCTTGTGTGAAATTAATAGCTTGATTAGCTTATCTAAGTATCATTTATCAAGTACGTTTATCCTGTGCTAATCTGGAAAGGAAACAGCTGTTGGTGCTGAAGTTCATGCTAGAAACACGTAACTTTGGAAAAACTTACCTTCAGTTCCAATTCTGAGCTGTGCTATTTTACATGGCAAAATTTCTGTAATGGAAATGTCTACCTGCCTCATGTTACATAAAAATCAGTTCCAGCAGGATCAAAATGGACCTGCCAGTGGCCAAACCTGAGCCAATGAATGAGTGATGTTTATTGTGCCTCCTTGATAACATAGTTAAGTAAATGAAAAAAAAAATTAAAAAATGGTGCAACCGCAAATGAGAGAGAACAGGGAGAAGATGTGAGAAAGCCATGCAGATGCCACATTTAGTAAAGAAGGAGGGCAGGAGGATTTTCAGACCTTTGAGCAGAAGCCTGTGGTATATCATGGCAGTGCAGATCTCCATTATGCAGCCTGTGGAGAAGTCACAGAATCACAGAATCACAGAATTGTAGGGGTTGGAAGGGACCTCCAGAGATCATCGAGTCCAACCCCCTCCCAAAGCAGGTTCCCTACACCAGGTCGCACAGGTAGGCATCCAGGCAGGTCTTGAACATCTCCAGAGAAGGAGACTCCACCACCTCCCTGGGCAGCCTGTTACAGTGCTCTGTCACCTCACTGTAAAGAAGTTATTGCGCACATTTGTGCAGAACTTCCTATGCTGCAGTTTCCGGCCGTTTCCCCTTGTCCTGTCTCCACTCACCACTGAAAAGAGTCCAGCCTTGCCATTCTGCCCCCCACACCTTAGATATTTATAGACCTGGATCAGGTCCCCTCTCAGTCTTCTTTTCTCAAGGCTGAACAGACCCAGTTCACTCAGCCTTTCTTCATAGGAGAGATGCTCCAGGCCCTTCACCATCTTTGTGGCCCTCTGCTGGACTCTTTCCAAGAGATCCCTGTCTTTTTTGTACTGGGGAGCCCAGAACTGGACACAGTAATCCAGATGAGGCCTTACCATGGGAGATAATACTGTGTCAGCCTATTCCTGAAAGACTGTAGGCCACGGTATAGATGCTCTTTAACATCTTTATCAAAGACATTGATGACAGAATTGAGTGCACCCTCAGCAAGTTTGCTGATGACACCAAGCTAAGTGGTGTGGTTGACATGGTGGAAAGAAGGGATGCCATTCAAAGGAACTTCAATAGACTTGAAAGGTGAGCTGCCTTGGTTCTATGATTTTTGCTTATCAGAATTCCACATCATAACATCATGTAGTGCACTGGGAGCTAATGCTCCAATTTTGGATACCTGTCTGGAAAGAGAAGAACTACATACTTCAGGGGGCTTTGCGATCAGAGAGGAGATATAACCCCTGGCAAGGTCACCTGACGCACTCTTCTTCATCTGCTCTCCTCCCTGCTGCTTCACCAGACTGCACATCTCACATCAGTGTTATGGTGAGGCCTATCCACCTTTTGGACACTCTCTGTCATTATGTTCGATTTATTAGCTTCAATTTCAATTATATTGTATTATGGTGTGTTATCTTGCATTCTGATATTATATTTAGTAAATTAGCCTGTTTCTTCTCAGATCATTACCTCTGTTTTTAATTATTTTGGGGTCTCCTGCTTCCCTTTTCTGGAGGTGCGGGTTTTGTGAAATCCCTCTGTCCTACTAGTAATGGAAACGGGCTGAACTAGCTCATAAATCATTGACAGTGGGCCAAGATGAACCTAACGAGGTTCAACACAGCAAAGTGCAAGGTTTTGCACTTGGGCCGGAGGAATCCCAGGCATTTATACAGACTGGAAGAAGCAGTCCTTGAGAGCAGCCCCGCAGAGAAAGACCTGGGGGTCCTGTTGGATGAAAAACTTAACACAAACCAGCAGTGTGCTCTTGCAGCTCAGAAAGTAAATGGTATCCTGGGCTCTATCAGAAGAGGGGTGGCCAGCAGGGATAGGGAGGTGATTATCTCCCTCTGCTCTTGTGAGGACCCATCTGGACACCCCACCTGGAACATTGAGTCCCAGCCTGGAGCCCCCAGCACAAGAAAGAAGGGAGCTGTTGCGGACAGTCCAGAGGAGAGCCACCAAGATGATCAGGGAGCTGGAGCAACTCCCCTATGAAGACAGGCTGAGGGAGTTGGGCTTGTTCAGCCTGGAGAAAAGAAGGCTGCGGGGTTGAGGAAGACTGTTAAGCAAAACAGACCTGGCTGGCCTGAAAGGGTCAAACAGGGAACATGCAGCCCCTCCTGAAAGGGAAGGACTGCCATGTGAAACTGGTGGCCCCTCCTGAAAGGGAAGGACTGCTATGTGAAACTGGCAAGCATAAGCTACAGCTTCTTCTTTCCGTGACCAAGAGCAGAAAATGCTCTGTGGAGAGAACGCCTTTTGATCACTGTACTGACCATAATCCACAAAGAGCTAATTAAGTAATGATGTATTGCTGTCAGCTGCATGAATGTTATCTGATTTAAGTATTGTATACTCCTGTAGCTAAAAGATATAAAAACTCTGTAACAACAATAAAGATTGCTTTTGCGCCACCGGAGCCTTAAGCCCATCTGTCCCAGGCGTCTTGAGCTGGTCTCCGTCACGGGGTGATCTCATTGCAGCCTTTCAGTACCTAAAGGGAGCCTACAAACAGGAGGGGAGTCAACTCTTTGAAAGGATAGATAACAGCAGGACAAGGGGAAATAGTTTTAAGTTGAGGGAGGGAAGATTTTGGTTGGATGTTAGGGGGAAGTTCTTTACAGAGAGAGTGGTGAGGTGCTGAAACAGGCTGCCAGGAGAGGTTGTGGATATCCCATCCCTGGAGGTGTTCAAGGCCAGATTGGATGGGGCCTTGGGCAGCCTGGTCTAGTATTAAATGGGGAGGTTGTTGGCCCTGCCTGAGGCAGGGGGTTGGAGATTCATGATTGTTGAGGTCCCTTCCAACCTGGGCCGTTCTGTGATTAGTTTGCAAAGGCTGGCATCCTGGGGAAGGAATTCACACTGGAGCAGGAATGGGGAGAGGGTGTGATCACGGAGGAGCAAAAAAGTGTTATGAATTGATGACAGCATCTGTTCCCTGTTACCTTGTGGTGCTTGAATGAGGCAGAAGAGGTTGTTTTTAGTTTCCTTTGAGTTCTTACTGCCCTAATCTGTTATAGGACACAAACTATGTTAATCTTCCTACATTAAGTCTGTTTCTTCCATAACAGTAATCAATGGGTGATTTCACTCTCATCTCAAACCAGGAGCTTTGTTTATGTCCTACCCCCATGCAGAATGAGAGGGCAGTATGATATAATCTTGCTGTCCATCAGTGTTAAAGCAGTGCAACTGCAGATTGGAGTGAGATAAAAGAACAGTAGTCCATAGTGCACAGGTGGATGAGAAGGTATATTTCAGATAAATATGATTGATTCATAACACTGAAGACCACCTTGTAAAAGAGTGGAGAAAGGATGTCTTTGGTGTTACCATATAACACCTGGAGAATAAAGTTAGGTGAAAATATTTCAGTTGTTTTAAGACAAAATGCAGAACTCAGAGAAGGAAGCTAATGCAAAGTAGGAGAAAATGAATGAAGAAAGGAAGGAAAATTAAGGAAGTAAGAAAGAAGGAAAGATTTCAGACATCAGTTTTCAATTTCATCAAATGATGGGTTAAAAAATTGCAAATGTATGTACATGTGAATTTATTCTTATAGGGATCTTAGGATAATGAAAAATCTATGATTGTCATGTTGTGAAAACAAACAAAAAACAAAACAAAAAGCAAGCACACAAACAAATGAACAACAACAACAACAAAAAAAAAAAAAACAGCACCAAAACCCTCATAAATCTTGAAAAACAAAAAGGATTTAAAATATATATATATAGTTTTGGTAAATTCCTTTTGTTTCAGGGACAAACACAAAATTTGTTCCTTTACTTCAGATCAGATTCATCCTTTTTAGGGAAGTTATGTCTCTCCCTGTCCTTTTTGCCCATAATCTGTGTATCTATGATCAACGATGGGCTCTGATGAGTAAGTGAGGTAATTTGAGATAAAAGTGAGATGACTGTCTTTAATGTAGTACATAGAATAAATAACTAACAGAAGTATGAGAAGTAAATATTTCTGGGATAATTCCCATGGAACTTGACAAAGATACTGTACTCCAGGGGAAATTGTAGTCAGACTCTCACATTTTATAAATAGCTTTAGCTTCATTAAAAATTGGTTACAATTGTTGAGAATATCTGAATATCATCATTGGTTAATGTTAAATAATAGATAAATCATCTATATGCAAAAATGAAAAATAAAGAGAATTTCTAGCAACTGGGCAAGATATCCTGAATTTGCATCTAATAAGATTGAACCAAAAAACGGATACTGTTAAGGACAGTTAGAATCATTGACCATAAGTAATTCCATTTAAATCTAGTAAGAAATGTAAGGGTTCACTGAGCTCAGTGTTAAAAGGATCAGTGGACAATGGTGCAGTAGCTCAGAACTCAGAACTGCTCAAAACCCCAGAAGACCTGGGACTTTCATAAACTTTTTGAAATTTACTCCCATTTAACATCTCTGGCAATGTCCACAAGTTTATTGATGTCTCTAGGTGTGGTATTTACCTTCCTCGTTTTTCAGAAGGCAAATCTGTGGAAATTTGGAATATTCTGTTCCAAGTTTTTCCAAGAATTAGCAACAAACTCCGAAGAAGGAATCTAAAATAAATTTAAGATTCTATCTTAATCTTATCAGATTCCAGAAGTTTTTCTTAAAAATAATTCAGATTTTATCCTTGATAATTGAACTTCTGGAGGTAATTTAGGCAGCTATTAT